TCAATCCCCCAGCACCACATGCCAGCCAGCCCTGCCCCCTGGTGGGCTGAGCTGGCCACACACACACACACACACACACACACACACAAATAAATAAAATTAAAAAAAAATACACATTTATAAAATAATTTTACAATATGGCCAGCACTATTCAACATAACTGATGGGAGAATTCCTTAGCTGGTGACATAGTATCATATTATACAAAAGAAACCATCAAAAGGCTCAGTCTCCACATGGCTGACACTTAGAAGCTCTTCCACTGTTACATTAAATGGGTAGAAGTCATCAATATATACTTCCAGACAGAGTTCCCCCAACTTACATCTACCCTACTTTTAGAAGATCAACTAAAAATGCATGGCATCTTCATGCTCGATCATCAAATATTTTTCATTTTACAGAACATATGCAAAGGTATACAAGTAATTTATATGTAAAATGTACTATATACTGCTTTGATATGTATTGATTCTTACATGCTGTCTTATCTTACAGCACATTACACAAGCTCCTCAAGGCAAAGGCCATGTCCTACATGACTGTACCGCCTATGGCACAGTACTCAGCACATACAGGCACCAAAAAGCAAAATGAAGTATATACAGTACTGCTATCACTACCCCTCACAGAAAAAAATAAAAACATTCCCTGCTAGATAAATGGCTGCTTGCCTCTCTTTTCAACATGGGATTCTTGGATAGCTAGGATTGTATTTACTTACTTCCTTGAATTGTCTAAACTAATGTATAACTAGCCAGGCCATAGGAACAATACTGGTACAATTAAATCTAAGCCCAACTTTCTCACCTATGAAAACAAAAGGATAATTTTGAAATAGTCTTTTGTTCAAAAGTTAAAATACTTCTGGAGATATGTCAAGCACTGTGTCAGGCCCTAATGGTATATAAAAGTTATTACCATTCATAATCTGCATTTCTCCACCTGGCTTCTGCACCCAGTCAGATGATGGTTGTAATCTATCTACATTGGTTACTAGGTACCAGTATTTCACGTGCTTGCACTGTGTGAAGTGACAAGAAAAGAAAGGGATCAGGAGATGCCCGGAACTGTGGATAATAAGACTGTCAAAAAGGGAGAAGCTAAAGATGGACAGGACAGAAGGGCTGCTCCTGCCCATAGGGGGCCATCAGCTACTTCTAATTTGAGAATACTGTAGACTTTTAACTACTGTTACTTGTTTTCATAAGCAAAATAAAATGAAGGAAGTATCCTCAACATCAAGGACCCAGTTTATTACACTGAATATTAGATGAGAGTCACTTCTAACAACTCAGAATGAGCCAAAGAAAACTTTAAAGAAACTAATATGCAAAAAAAACCCCACTTCAATCATTAATTTGTCTGCATTCTCTACTTTCCCTCTCATTTTACTTATGAGTTTAGAATAACAAATTGAACAGAGAGGTAACTTAGGAGCGAGAAAAATGGGTACTTCATAATCTTAATATAAATGAACTAGCTAATCAGCCTCTGCATAGCTAGGAATAAGTTTTTTTAAAAAGTCTGCACTCTCAGATAACAGGATCTTAGAAAAGGTCTAAACAGCAGATTACTCTGAGGTAAAATTCTGATTTTATTTACCATGTATCTTAACCACACCTGAGGTGTCAGTGTTATCATTTAGACAAGGGTACAGTCCTCAAGTGAGTAAAATCTGCTGTGTAAATCAAATACTTAATTAAAGAAAAGGCTTAGTAGGCTACAGGGAAAGATTCGCCAAAATGGTGAACTAAATATTGTTATAGGAAAAGCCTTCACTTATTAGTTCTATCATATTAGTCTACAAAATTCAGATCAGTCAACATTAACCACAGCTTATACATAAACAGAAGTTTTTTAATTTCCATTTAAGATTGTAGATTAGGTAGATATTTACTTAGAATCTACCTTTTCAATGTCCTTACTGACTTGGAATCTCCAATTTGCAATGCACTTACTCAATGAAAGTATTCTTAGATTTCTTATTTTACACTGTTTATGCTATTCAGAGGAGAAAAGCAACAAAAAAAGTGTTAGCCCCACAGAATTTACAACCTAACTTTATCTCTTCCTAAGGTATATCTTATGTTAGCACTGGTACAGTATTAGTAATCTTATCTCTCTGGTTAACTAGCTCCCCAACTCTCATAAAAACTTCCTTGCATATTATATAAAGCAGGAGACCTCACAGCATTGTTGAAATTTTTTATCTGCTTCAAGTTCTTTCCCTGTTGCTGAATTAGGCTAGCATTATCACATCTTCAAATGCAAAGCTTTCAATCTGCACTCAGAACTCGAGGTTCTCCCAAATTTTTCAAAAAATGTACACCATTACATTTTGCTTGTATAGTCAAACTGTATCAAACAGTCTTCTATTTTAGGGGCTCAGAAGATAGCTTGGCAGCAAAAGTGCCTGCTAGGCAAGCGCAAGACACCAAGTTCAACCCCTAGTACTGCATGCCGTGCAGGCCCCGGAACCTGAGGCACACCGTGCCAGCCCTGGAACTGGGTGCAGTGGCACATGCCTGTAATCCCAGTACTAGGGATGCTAAAATTACACTGAATAGTAGATGAGAGTCACTTCTAATAAGTGGATCACTATGAGGATCACTATGAGTCCAAACTGTGTAGTAAGCCTCTGTATCAAAAATAATAATAATGATAGTCTTCCATTTTAAAACATATTCAAGACAGTTGCCCATTAAATATACCCCCATGTGGCTGGCCAAATAGCCCAGCAGATTAAAACATCTGCTTAGGCAGATGTAGGGGCCAGGGGTTCAATCCCTGGGCCTGCCATGCCAGCCCCGCCCCCAGGGCGTGCTGAGACAGTGATTGAGAGTGGGCTCAAGACTGGGCATGGTGGTGCACGCCTGTAATCCCAGTCCAGTCTATGCATAAGACCCTGAACACTGTGTAGACCCTGTCCTAAATACAGAAAGAAAAAAAAAACCTTAATATAATATACCCCATGTGGACCCCATTCATTAAACCGCCAACCACTGCAGTCATTCTCATTCACAGGTAAGTTTCTGGAACATTTCAGTCTTTACTTCTTCCCTTTCTACTAAACCTTCATTCAACCCGTTACTAAATTCCACCTAAGGCTATCAAGTGAGGTCACTGGTGAGGTCACTGGTGAGAAGTACCTAAATGCAAGGGCTATTCACCTTTCAGCATACTTAACCCACTAACAATCTAATGCTCCCTTCTTGGCTCCCAATATGAAGCCCTCTCCTAGTCCTTCCCTACTTCTCTCCTTACTTCTGTCTTTTCATGGTATACGCTTCTCAGCTCAATCACAATCTAAACAGATGCCTCCCAAATCTACAGCCCACGTCTGCCCACCCTGAAACAAATGCCAGACTGTAACTACCCGCCTCTTGGAAAACTCAAACGCACATCAAATTCATTATGTCTAAAATTAAACTATTAAACTCATGTTTTTCTTGCCCCCTAAAACTTGCTTCTTTCCCAAGAAAAGATGCCACCATCCATCCTGCTATACAAAGCCTAAAGAACCTTAAAATCATCTTTGACGTGTACCTTTCCCTGGCTACCAATCCAATCCACTACCAAATTCTACTCTGTCAACTAAATCTTTTCACTCCATGAACTTCTTTTCACATCCATA